GGGGGGGGGGGGGGGTCGTGGGCGTTGAAGAGCATGAGTTTCCTGGCCGCCTTTTTGCACCCGTAGGAATTTGAGCACTTTGTTTTCTGTTTATTTTGAGCAAATATGTGCTTTGCAGAGGCTTTCCAAGCCTCACGCTTTCCTTACCCTCTCGAAAATTTAGCAGCATGGCACGGTCTCCTCTCCTTGACTCATGCATCCTTGTCCCTTTTCTGGCACATTCAGCCATGGCTTTTTTCGGAGAGCAAGGACCATGTGAACTTGATTTCACAGTCATAGATAGAGTGAATGGGAAGGTGGCTGAACTTGCAACGGTTTCGCGTTTCGGCACATCCGACGGCTTCACAGGACGCACCTCGGCGAGGGCGACAACGCGATGTTCGCTTGGATGGAACGTAGAGGGCCAGCGGACCGAGGAAGAGCTGTGGGTCTTCCTTGCACCAGACGCTGTTTTTGTCGAAGGAAATTTGCGCTTGATGAGGGGTTTGACTGTGAAGGTGGAGAAGGTGGTAGGATATGTGGGTGCTCGAGAAAGAGATGGCTCCGGCGAGAATGCCCAGACGTCTCAGGGAAGGAAGGGAGAAGAGTCAAGAGACAGAGAAAAAAAGACTATAGAGCTTGTTCGGTGTCGGGTAATAGAAGTGTGGATGTGCGATCATCAGTATCTCAACGCGCAAAATATGGTTTCACTAGAGGTAGCGAGAATTTTCGATGAGCTCCACTGGGTTTGAAAAAAAACGGTGCAAAAAAATCTCGAGAGATATCTCAGCAGTAACAGAAAAGCATGTGCTTGTATGTTGTGTGGACCATAATTTCTTCTTCATGCTGCGCTTATTAAACCACGCAAACGGCGGAAGATGTTCAAAGATTGTTCCACCGTCGTCTTTTCTGAAAACAGGATCTAAGTTAAGTGCGAAAGTCAAAATGTTGACGGCAACCCCCACAACGCAGCCGAGTAAGTCCCTCAAGTCTTGAAGGGGGCCCGGGAGCACCGGTTTCCGCGACGACCCAGCTCGCTGTTGCTCCATGGCGTAAGGCATATCTACCGATCTTGCAAGGATTCACTGCTTGCAGTCGAAGCCGGTCTATGCTCTTTCCAGGCTCGCTTTCCCGGGGACATCTCCCTGCCCAAGTGGCCATCAAGTTGCTCAATCTTCATACATTATACTTCATTCTTATATTCGTTATTAGTTCACTGCTCACATTTTTTCATTTTCCTCTCGCATTACTGGGTTGTCCCACGGCTCACCTCCTGTGAATTGAAGAAGACCTTGCAGGAGCAAGCCAGTATCTCTCGGGTCCTTTACAACACCCCAAAGCTAATAAACAATGGTCGCAGAAGTCAAGGCTGTCTTAAATGGTAAAGATTTAAACAACGGTAGCAGTAAAGGCGTGTTAGCTATACCCAAGGCTGTCGAATTAGCGCAAAAAGAGGAGGAAGATGTTATCACAACCACAAAGGTGGAACCCGCCTCAGGGCCGGCAACAACGCAACAGAATGTCACGTCGAGTAAGAAAAAGAAAACAGCAGTCAGCAAAAAAGAGCAGACTCTGACGCAACAGGATAGCAAGGGCACTGCAAACAAAGAGAACGACAAGGTATCTGAGAAGACTGTGGAGACGAGCGGGAAGGACGAGACTCGTGAGGCCTCGGCCGGTAGTGCAAGCATCTCAGCAATGAAACCGAAAAACAATGCCATCAAGTCCTCCATCTCTGCGAATGGCGCAGTGGCCAATGTAACCAAGGAAGTCCAGACGTCTTCAGCCACCAACAAGAACGTCCCACCATCACAGCAACCACAACGAGTGCAGCAAACGCAGCAACGCACTCTGCCGTTTCAACCCTACGCCGGTATTCCTCCCTTCAACCAGCTTCGCGAGACAAATTTGCAGGATTGGCCCCCAGACCGCGGCCTGACTTTTATTCGCCCCTGCCCCAGCGGGACTTCCTCACTGGAGAAGTTGAGCATGCTGAAAAACTGCCCGCAGATTCTCGCCTACATTCAATCATTCTCGGGGGCTGATTGGATGGAAGCCACGTTCTCCCCACAACCTTGCATTCGCTTGACGGCCACCACACAGATGCCCGGGGGGAAAGCGACGGCTGAGGCGATCCTGCGCCTCTCGGACGAGATGGTCCTACAGTGGCTTCATCGCTTCGACCCCCAGATGCCGATATGGGCCATGTTCGTGTGCCCCGCCATGCTGTCGGGGCTGATGGTGGGCAAGCAAGCCGTGAATCTGAAGAAGATCGAGGAAAGTTCCTCCGCACGTGTGTGGGCGGCGCCGCGGGACTCGGAGGCGCAGTACGTGAGCTTCTTCATTTGCAGCAATAACTATGAAGCGACACGCAGCGCCTATGCCCTCTTGGAGGCGCGGGCGCACAATCAAATGGAAATGGCCATGACCAGCGTCCAGCACCCCCCCCCACCTCCCCCGCCCCTCTCCTCCGTTGCTCCAACCGCCCTGGCCAAAGCCAGCGGGGCCGGATCGCGGCCCGTCCCTGGCGCCTCCGCCCCCTCGGAGGGTACGGAGGTGGCACTAGCCC